GACGCCATGCCTTCGCCGCATTGGCCTCGTCGACTAGGCTCAATGGCAAGCTCGTGGACGCCAAGGCGCACGTTAGTCGAGATTGCGCGGTCGTGCCCGGCGTACCCCCACGTCCACTTCAAGCTCGGGTATCTCTACCTCCTTTTGAATGACGCGCACAAGGCCTTGGAAGCGTTTGGGTAGCTCCATATGCCTCCTCTCGCCATACTAAGGCGGTGTTAGGATGGAGGTTGCGACGCTCTTGGCGACGCCCGAGGCAACGCACGAGGTGCACGCGAAGCGGGTCGCGGCCAAGGTACCGCCACGGCATGGGGCATGCACATGTCGATGTCGGTCTAGGCCTTTCTCTGGTGCGCCCATGCAGGACGACACGAAGCGTACACGCTGCTTGGCCTGCCGGAGAAGGCGCAGAAAGAACAAGCCGCGCTCGAGGCCCACGGCGGCTCGTCGCTCGAGGCGCATGTGGCCATGGGCTGTCTCTTTGCCCGTCTCGGTTTGCTCCACCGCGCCGATCGCTGTTTTGAAAAAGGTACTTTTTTATAGACAATATGTACAACGTATGAATGACTAGCGGCGATACTGAATGCACGGGATCCCAACTACTTGGCCGAGCACGCTAGCTTGCTCTTGCTGCAGAAGCGATACGACCGGTCGCTGGCGATGGCGATCGAGTGCGTCGCCGTCGCAGCGCCGCTGAGCTATGATGTGTTTCGCGCCCTGCTGCACCAAGCCACGGCGCACCTCCGGCTGCGTCAGCTTCCGAGTGGGCGCCTCGTTTTCTATCAAGTTTGTATCAATATGCTGCGTGTAGAGGCCAAGAGCATTTTACGCCAAGTTCTGGACAGCCTCGCGCCACTCGTGGAAGCGCACATGACGCCACTCTTGGAAGGCTCCGATATGGATCGAGCGACGTTGCGGCAGCTGTACTTTAGCGCAAGCCAAGCGGAAGGTACACGTTGAATCAGTGCACCCAAAATGAACCTATGGAGATGGTTGTAGGCTGCCGGGCGCTACTGGCGGGGGACTTGCAGCATGCGCTCGACGTCTACTACCGGCTCGCCAACGAATTCTCGGATTTTCAGGTATATCTCGTGCTTACCGACGTTCATTGATGCATTTTTACGTAGCTACCCGTCGTGCTCGTCGGCCCAGGAGCTCGGGACGCGACTGGCCACGTGGTCGACACGTCTGCCTTTTCTGTCAACAACATTATCAACGCCCTAATGTACCTGGACGAGGTCGCATCTGCTGAGACATAGAGTGTCGATGGACGCCCTGTTGTAGATGGAGGCGCGGTATGGCCCGGATGCATGCTTGTACTTTCACCGGTAATGCTCTCGGTACAGTTGCACGTCGTGACGAAACATGCATATATAGCGCCAACGTGTACCGAGCCCTTGGGAATCTCGGGAGCTTCCTCCACGACCTCAAGACACTGGAGCAGCTCGCCCCACGCTTTCTTCAAACGTACTTTGATCACGTACGACGTTTGCTTGTATTTTACTGTAATACTTTAGCGCTGTGTATCTCGGTGTGTAGGGTAGCGGCGGGGACTTTTTAGATGAAGAGACCATGACGTGGCTGCCGTATCGTCTCTTGTGCGCGCTCCACACGTCCGAGAACGCTCGTACATATATGGATATTCACGAGCTTGATATCTTGATATATATCGATACCAACACGTGAGATGGATAGACCATGCGACGACGATCCAGAACGCAGCAATCGTCGAGTACTTGGAGACGCGCCGGCAGTATCAACCGCTTGATATTTACGCCGATATATTCCTCGTCGATGGACTTCGACGCCTCGAACTGGCCGGTGCGAGCATCGGCATGCAATTCAAAGTGCAAACCGAAGCTAGGCGAGCTCTCGCTGGCGGCCAAGCGGCAGCAAGAAGCCGCGAGCTTGTCGTTGGACGACTCGCTTTGCGGTTTGGACGACAAGGTACATTATTTCATGTTGTACTATCCTTACGACGTTATATGGGGTGTAGACGCCGCCGTTGACGAGCCTCACGTGCATCGCCTCGCTTCTCGAGCGCCACGCGAACCTGCCGCTTGCGCACTTCGTCGCGGGGCTCGTCTACCTGTCGCAGTTGCGCACCTTTGGTACCGCTCTTGGCGATCGAATTTGTACGCCTATGTGTCCACACTCTCAGCGGTCTACCGTAGAAGCGACCAAACACTTGGGCGTCGCGATCGAGCTCCTTGGCGACGCACTGGGTCGCATGGAAGCAACGATGCAGCACCGCACGCACGTGGACCTGCCGACGCGGTGCAACCGCGCCACTTGGTCGTCGAGCCTAATCTCGTCTAGATGGACGTACCAGAGCTACGCGCGGGCCAAATACCATGCGTTGGTCTGGTACGACACGGCGCGTAATCGGCGCGAAGGACGTCGGGATTGTAGGCGGTCGGTGCTCCACCGCCTGCTTCTCAACACGATCGAAGCCAACGACGACCTCAAAGCGGCGTTGGCTCTCTTTCCTCGGGACCCGCATGGCCAGGTACATTCAATTATATCTTTAAAGATCCGTGGGCATCGATTTGCGCAGCTCGTCAAGGCCATGAGCATGGTGCACTACAGCCAAACGCGCCATGCCATCCAGCCTCTTCAAATCGCCCTCGACGTAGGACTATGGCACCTCTTGTCCACCGCAACAACGCTGTCAATAGAGCTTGCGCGCCAACGGCTTTGGCAACAACAAGACGATGGTAATCGACTACGTTTTGCGAGCGGGCGCGGCGTCCTTCTCGCTGCTTCCCGGGGTGCGTCGAGAAGCTCGTAGCCCGCGGTATCATTGGCGTAGGAGCTGCGCAAGGCTCGCAACACGGCCCTGCAGCAACACTACGCAGCATCGTCGCCACCATCGGCGACACATGGGCACGCCTCGACAGCCGCGGCCAAGCTTGCGACCAAGATTCTGACCACAGACGCGCTCGACAAGCTCTACGACGCCGGAGTTCTCAAGCTCAGTAAAGGCTTGGTGCGACAGTGGATGCTGGTTCGTACACTGTTTACTCCAGTGGATAGATTGCACCGGCGATCGAGTACTTTGAAGCGCTCACGTCCATCAAGGAGACGTACATGACGCCCTCGATCGAGAGCCTCCTCGACTTGCAGCGCTGCCGTGACCCTCGCTTTGTGGATGAAAAAGTACATGCCACCTCATGGAATCTGGTGTCTGAAATACGACCAGATTCTAATTTGTGTGTTGACTAGATCTACGCCTGTCACCACCGAT